TATTGTTAACAGTATCGCCGTGTAAATCAAACTAACGGCCAATCGGTAATTGAACAGTAAAATGTCATACGATCGCCGGCGTCACACGTATACGCAATGTTTTTTTACTGTATTGCACAACATTAATGTATAATAGTTATTATCGCGTTGGCAGTTTGCACAAAAAACAGCGCACGGAAACACATCAATAATTATTGAGGTACGCCAACTGTGCGTAATTTTTGATATATTGCGGTGTGTGTGATTACAATATTACATAAATACTTCAGTGGATAGGTCGGTAGATTCGGCGGGTCACGTGTAAAAATTTAATGAGTTCGCCGATGATGTTATTTCGAGCGGCAGTTCGGGTAATATAATGGCATTTGAAGTTTGGGGGCTGAGACGAGCAATCCATTTTAACGTTAAACATACACGCGGTTTCAATTAAGGGCGACGAGGGAGTGCCACGGCGATGTGTACGCGGCAAACTCATTGTTGAAGATCCATCTTAATCTCGTGATGGGAAAAGAGGGGAGGGGTTGTGTGTACCGAAAAAAGCATCCGCCGCTACTTTGTTTCAACTTTGCTTATTTCGACGTCGTCATTTGTCGGTTCATTGTGAGCTATTATTTTCACTTTTACGGGGTGCAAAAGAGTGGTGCCTCCACCGCGCGCAAAGCCCTCGCAATGAATATTTGACTAAGTACATCACATTTAAAATAACTATGACACGGTTATGATGCTAGAACTTTCATTTTATAACGGGCCTTAAGCATCATCCTGTTAAAATGAAAAGGTGGATGGAATAAAGTCTACAAATAACGAGCAACTCAGCTGTCCAAGTCGTTCGTTATGTATACGACAACATTAATTTTATAGATTGCGATATCTATTATAGTGCGCGATTCAAGTCATATATTGTTAAGACAGGTGCCTCATCTAATTATACAAAATTTTAATTGGCCATCAGGTAAAATATTCGTGTGAGTAATTTTTCGATAGACTTAATAACGAAAATTTCATGGATGTTTTATGTGAATGCAACACAATAATTGCTTCAGTAACGTTTTACCATACAAATTATACTAAACCCTTTTGTGTGTTACTTCAACCTGTTTACCGGTCAGATGTTTAGTCGGTGAAAAATGAATAATTGTGATGTAAATAAATAAATTGTGATTACAATTAAAATCGGCAGAGTTGCGCGCATACATGACAATATACGAATATTTGAGAATTTACATTGTTTTTGTATAAAAATAATGGAAATGAAAATTACTCGAACCGTTGATTGCATGTACCGAACTGTTGTCATCTGACAATTAAAAAACAAAACAAATTTGTACACCGGAAACAGCAATTTTTTTGATAGTCATATTTGTTTTAATGAAATAACAACTTTATCGAAAAAAAATTCGTACAAAAACATTTTAACTGTAAATTGGTAAGTGTCGATATTCGTTTAAAATCGTACTACTGGTCGAGTTTCCGTAAATATACCCGTGTATTATAATGTGGACGTAAAATTTGTGGGGGTCCAACCTCATATAGATTTCAAAGTGCCAAAACGATATGGCGAAAGAAACGGTTATTTTTGGGGAAGTGAAGTTGATGGGTGAGATAGGAACAGTGAGTTTGACAGGTTTATGGACTTTCATGGCACCGTCGGCATAACAAGCCGGAACGACCATTACCATCAGCTGACCAATAAAGCAAAAATGTCCGTTTGTTTATTCTCAGCGCGTTTTCGCAGTTGTTTTTTGGACATATATTATGTCGGTTATTTAGCAGCTGCCGGATTTTATTCGTTACCTATCACTTCACGAGTTTGTGCTTTACGATACCCGACTCGCGCATTGCGGTTAATATAAACCATAGACGTTGTTTTTCATGGCCATAACGCGGTAACGTGCGAAAACGTTGTCTATCCATATAAAAAATACAACTTTTTGCGCTTCTTAAAATTTATAGCAGTCGTTGCGTTTCAAATAAGTCATCAACGCTTTTGAGTTGAGATTAGATAGTTAGACTGCGCTTGCTAGCTGAATACTCTTCGGAGGAGCTGAAATTTTAACTAGTAAATAATTGAACAATTTGTAACCGAAAGTACACAAAAAGCAATTGAACTATTTATTTTGGATAATTCGATCATGTTGACACGCACCTTAGATATTTCGGTGTTAATTTGTATACACAAAGAACTTTATGAACATACACTGGAAATCTGAGTATTTTAATCGGCATTACATGCGCAACGGCTTATTTGAATGGTAATTTCCTGTAGAGTCAATCTCAGTTATTGTAGGTGTGTTTATATTTTTTACCGTCGGAATCACTGGTCTTAAAACTAACCGCGTTTGAATGGAGTCGGTAGAACTGTGTAGTAGAGTAATTTCGGCATGAATGAAGAAATCGTGTTTGCTTGACACAATTATATCGTTATAAACGCAGTGTTGTGAGAAAATTGAAGGTCTTGTCTTTAACAGCCTATCGTGTAATTACGTTAGCTTCCGAAAATCTCGGGTTGATTGGACAAAAGAAAATTATCGGGTACCTAAGGGATAATATTTGTTTCCTTAAAACTACATCCGATTCTGGAGTCGGTAATAGTACAGCTCCGTGTGGTACGTCTGCGGTGTGTACGGTCTGTTGTGTGCGGTAGGCCTTTTCGTTTGAGTATATTACAGAATCGTCATATTATTACGCTTGAGGATGTTGTAATCTGTCGGATGTCGAAGTAACGCTGCCTTGTAATTAGGATAGGTCTTGTAATACAATACATATAACGTGTACATGGGTGTAAAGGAGGTTACACGTGTAACAGACGGGCCATTCGGAATGTTGTGCCAGGGTAACTCCGGTAGCCGAGAACACGCGATAGAACCCCTGGGCGTTTTTCAGTCCGTTTTTTTACATCCGAGTTTCAAACAAAAACTGAAATCAAATAGTATTGTTTCATGTATGCCGCCACACGTTTGTAAACCGATCGATGTAAAATGGTTTTCGTTTGGTTTTATTTTTATGGAAAAAATAACAAATTTGAAATTGGTAATCGTAATAATATTTTCTCTTCCTTAATCGTTATAAAAACGAGTCGAGTAAATTTTCAAATAAGAATTAAATTAAACTTTCAGTTAGTTCGTACCTGATTATTGTAGTAAACTCACAGATTAATTATTAATTGATTATCAGTTAATCGAGTTAACCAGTTAAATTATTAGTCTTTGACATTTAATCAATTTAGTCGAATATGTTGTTATTCACAACTTTTCAACGTATTCAGTTGCTAATTATATACGACAATATTATTTTAATGTCTATCTATCTATAATAGTCTAGACCGTTTCCAAAATTGTAATACCCAATACTCATAATTACTATTTTAATAGTAATAATTAGTGAACGTTTTGGAAATTATTATAACATGTTAGCTCAACTACTCACTTTTTTAATACTTTGCGTTCAAAATGATAAGTTCTTTATATATATTTATAATATTCTGTAATTATTGATTGTATGTATATATAAAAATTCCGGTCGAGTAATCGACAAATTTACATATAAATAATATAATAGGCAACGCGTAAATGGGAAACGGTCGTCCGTGTTATTTTTTAGTTATCCAAGTAGGTTTTTAAATTTTAATTGCTTGTAATTACGCTTCATTTTTATAATTGAAATTGAAGACGTTGCACTTTGTCTTAACCCTTTTAATAAAGCACAAATTAATTCGAGTAAGCCTTGATTAAAACATCAAGTGCTAATTTTTAATGTTTAAACAGTTGTAGAAGTTATTCATAGAAAACGAGTTCTAGTATATCTCTAGAATAATTAGTCACAGTTCTATCATTACAAAACTATCATTAGCTATAATAGTGGCTTGTTACCATTATCTCCCTATAAATAATTGTGCATGTTTATTTTGCAACGTTTGTTTGTGAAAACTAACAAAATGAAATAATTATTTAAAAAAAAAAAATTGAATTAAATATTTGCAGTTTCTAGTCGAATTATTCTTGAATATAATTAGTTTGGTTAAATGATAATTGTGTGTTAGTAGAGTAATTAGAAGTTATAAATATAAATATATTATATAATAGAAGTTAATAAATATTATTTGGAAAATAGAAAGTAAACTTTTTAGTACACGATTATTAGTTAGGATTTAAAAACTTGATTTCTTTTTTAAACTCATTTCAGCCATGAAAATTTTTTTTAATTAAATAATACAACTATAACTTTCATAATGAATAGGGTGACAATTAGTAATGTAAGTATATAAATAACTATAGTAATAATTAGAAGATACATTTAAAGAAAATGACTAATTGTCATTGATTAAGACAACAGTTGAATTGTATTTTAAATAAAATATGATTTTTTTGTAGTTAATAGTTTTTGTTTTTAAGTATCTATCCCCCAATTTTTTTAGAAGAATTCTGAAAAATTCTGTGTGAAAAAAAATATCTATGCGTTATAATAAAAATAGAGTGTTATAAAATATTCTCTTCCGATCCCATACCAATTCTAAGTATTCAATTGCTGATATTTAAAAAATTAATAATACTAAACGCTTGAATGTATAGAGTGATTTTATTAATATTATTTTATATAATTGAACAATTAAGTTGACACTCTTATTAAGTACTAGGGCTAATATTAAAACAATCATCTATAAATTTTTATAAAAATTTATCATTATTCAACAAAAGCATTGGGGTAGTGTTCTTAACAAATTACTTTGTTTGTTATGGTTCTAATAAGGTGACATTGTTTTGTAACCGGAATTTAAAATAATCAAAACAATTCAATTTTTTATAGTATAAATATTAATAAAAATATGACTATGAGTTTTATTATGATATAAAGCATTTAAATTAATAAAAAACGTATGATTGGTTAAGATAATATAACTGTTTCATGAAATAGATTATAAGCCAAAAAAAAAAAAACGATTACAACTAAAAATAAATCCTATTGTTGAGAATATTAAAACACAAATAAAATATTTTTTTTACCTGCTGCTAGTCGATTCTTGTCGGCGGCGAATAGGAAAGCATTGCGTTGCATAAAGGACACTGGGTCTATAGCTGCAGTGGCCCAAGGGGACGGCATAGGGCCCGGGGAGCTGCCATTTGATAAAGGTCTGTGAGCGGGTACCTTGATGACTCCAGCAGCGCCGGTATATTGTAAAAACTTGTCGTCTGGCTTAGCACCTATGAGCTGATGATGTTGGTGTTGCTGGTGAAGATGGTGCAAACCGAATACGGCCGCATGGTGGCCGGCCGCGTACAACGAAGCCAAAGCTTCGGCATGGCCTGAAACCGCAGCTCCAGCCATACTAGTGGCCAAAGACCGTTTGGTAGACGAATCACTGCCACCAGCCCCCAACAAACGGGATATGCCAAACGTCAAGGCGCCCGAAGCTGACGTTGGCGATACGTCGTCTTCGTCCTCTTCGTCCATACACAACTCTTCGTCGGATCCATCGGAATCCACGCGAACGTCGCGATCTTCGTCCGATGTCGTACCATCTTCGACCGAACTACACTTGGTTTCGTCAACCATGACGCAAATGTTTAAAAAATAAAAAAAAACTCTATTCAATACGGTTCACGAGAGTGTTAAGTAATCGGTAGATAAAAGGCTAACGTTTTCCGCGATACGTCACACACGCGAAATCAATCGTGGTACAAGTGAGAGTGATGGATGCGATGCCGTCATCAATCTCGTCATTAGAGTAAAGAAATCTCGGAAGCGCAGTGACTGTGTGCGGATGGGAACGGTGAACGACGGACTGTGAGTGTCGGCAGGCGTGCGCGTGGTCCGGTGACTGGCGAGAGGGTCGGCCGTCCGACGAGCACCGCCTAGGCCGGGTTTCGATTGGTTAATAACCGACGGGAAAATCAGTACGGCGGGGCGCCGTGCGGATATTAAAACCCATTTAACGTTGGCAGCAGTAATATTCCCTTGACTCTTCTCCTCCTCGCGCCATCGCCTCCCTGCCGCCGCCTTCTTACAAAACGCATCCCGTCGCCACCACCGAACGCCGATTTGTTTGTTTGCCGCCTGGTACTTTTTCATTAAAACGAACATCCACCTTATCTGGCCTTGCCGAAAAAAGCCAAGTTAACGTAATCGCCTCTTCGTCGACTATCATCTTCTCTGCGGCCAGCCGTCTTAACTACTCGACCGATTACGTTAATCATCAACTCAAGACCACCGCTACGGTTACTTATTTCACATCTGGCAGTACTATACACAAGCACACCAACAACATTTTATTAATTAAAATTTTTAAGTGACAATTAAAGAACCCAGTTTATAATTGTTTTTCAAGTTTAAACAAATTATTAGGAAAGAAAACAAAAGTTGATAGTTTTGTCTACAGTTTAAGCATAAAAATTATTACAGTTACAAATGTTAAACGAAATTTTCAAAAACATTTTCATTGCATTAACAAAATATTTAGTTTAATCTATTAGCTAGAATTTGGATAGAAAATTACAAAATAAATAAATTTTAACACAATTACTATGACAATTAAATTGTGATTTATTCAAATAAAGTTACACTGTATAGAACTTCAATAAATTAATTAGCTTTATAAATAAATAATTATATTTACATGTATTAAAACTATTTAAATTCACTACCGTAGTATAATTATTATTTTTAATTAAAGTAAACTATTATATTGATAACTGTATTTAAAAATGTCATGCATGGCTAATAGTATCCATATAATTTGAAAAGCTTGTATTGATGTTCATTAATGTTTACAGGTGTAAGTACTGTTTAGCTTGCATTAATGTAAAGTAATAAATTTTATGATTTTCTTTTACATTATTATTATTCAGTATGGCTACATGGTAAAATATGTACACAATTGTAGAGTTAAGGATAACTTTATTACAACTGGATGCGTTTGTTTTGCGGATGTAATTACTCTTTAAGCCCTTATCAAGCATACAAAGTAATTAAATTTAACAAAAGTGAAGTATATATGTATATAACTTCTTTTGTTTTAAATGTTACGCTATCTATTACAATAAAAAACCTTAATTCGGACGTCTAACAGCGATATTACTGATAAAAATAATACATAATTGCATTTTTATGGTGCACCTTTTTTGAAATAAAATATTTTTTTTTAAATCTAAAATACATGAGAGTGATATTCATTCCCCTTAATACTATTTGTGTATATGTTTATCTAATATAACACAACTACAAAATAATATTATAACCTACAATGTACAAGTTTTGAAAACAAGAATTCGATTTTCATTTGTATTTTTGGAATTATTATTAAAATTACCGAATAAAAAAGTAGACACATCTATTATGACGCTGAGTTTATTACAGGCACCGTCAATAATAATTATTTGTGTAATCGAGCAATGACTTTTTAACGGTTGTCATTGGATAGATAAAAATGTATTATCCGGCCGAAATATTATTTAAAATCATATACAGTCTCATATGCGGCCGTGATGTTAAAACATCTATTATGAAACGCTTAGAGAACAATAAAAATAATTGTCTTTGGTAATTTCTACCCTTCCAAATGGTAAAAAACGATTATTATTGTGTGTAATTGAAGGGCTAGCGATCACGTACGGCGAATCGAACTCAGGTTTAATCAAAAATTGTTTAGGTAACTCGCGCAGTCCCATTTGGTTTTTTAAGTATCAGGTTTAAACATGTACTGTAATTTGTTCGAAATCGTTTAACGTAAGAACGATTTCGTTTCCGCGGCTGTATTCCTATTGTATAGCTGTGCAGACCAATTGCCTTGGTGTGCCTTATCTTGAGCTGTTGTACCATCAAAGATGTGGAGGAGACGCTTATTGTGTACGACTATCATGTGTAATGGAAAATGGAAAAGTAGTTCTATATAATAGCCGTAATATACGAGGTCACAGAGCACAGTATAATTCAACTGTAATCGTTGGTTGTTAAAAAATGTTAGATATTTTGAAAGGTTCTCATCATGGCCACAAAGCACACCTAACATTTCGTTTGTGTCGTTTGTCTATTCATTTCAATTGAATTAAGTTATTTCTTGAAAAATATTAATGTTTATTGTTATTAGTGTACTAAAAAAAATATGAAAATCGGAAGGAATTCTCATTCAACTGACTACTACTTATCTGTAATTTAAATTTAAGCATTTTTTCTGGTTCATACTAATTTACCTCGTAAGAAAAATCGAATTGAGCTCGTTAAAATATTATCGATTAGTCTAACTTTGTTCAAATAAATTTCTCATTATTATTACATTTACATGAAAAATGAATAAATTAAATAATTATTGGCCTATTAAATTTTCTGATACAATTTTATATTTTGAAATAATATAAAATTAATTTATATATTTTTTATGAGGAAATATAAATTTGTATTCCCAATAAAGTTTTATGGCTATTTTGTTACAGTAAATTTTATATAATTTAGAGTGTTTGAACTTTTTGAATGTAATATTTTTTTATTTAAGCCATGTTATATATGAGTTATTTATATATAGCACAGATATATTAGTTATTTTATGTAAATTGAATGTCAACTTTTCACTGTTCAAATTAATATTCAGGCCGAAATGTTAAACAAATGGCCATAATAAAAATGTGTTAAATTTAAAGTTAAATGTTTAATGAACTTCACGCTATATCTTCAGTGATGTAAAGTCACAGAAGGAAAAGATTGAAAAACTCTGAAATGAGACGGCATGATATTTTATTAATTAATTTCACACACAAGTAGTATAACTTTCACATAAAGTATCCAGAATTCTTACAAAAATATTACTTTTTTATAGCTATTTGTCAAAATTCTCACTTACATTTATGCATTAAAAACTTCCGCCAATGTGTGTGAAAACTTGAACATTTTTTTTAGCAATGTATTAATGAGAACTCGATAGATTAGTATAATTTATTATGTTTTCATTAATTATTATTGTTATTTATTATTTTTTATATTCTCTTTAAACTCTAATGCTTGTGCCAGACACGACTAGAAAAGCCTATCACCACAGAATCGAATCCGGTGCCTTCGCACCAAGCCACGAAATATATTGAATGAGTTAGATTGGCTACTTAAAAACCGTAAATTATATATATTAGTACTACTAAATTTAGTTCATTTGAATTATCAATAACTTGTTTTTTGAATTTTAAGTTAATAACATTATAATTTTCGATTCGGTTTTTTCAGCACATGATACTCTCAATGGATACTATATTTGCCATAATTATTAAGAATCTATTAACATGGATCAATTGGATTTTAATTTAGTATTTTCTAATAGTATTGATAAATAAAATACGACAGACACACTTTGATGTTCAATACTTGGCTTAAGAAATTTTACATTTTATTTCTAATAACATTTAGACAAATTAATAAAATAAATATAAACCATAAATTATAACGATATCAATATAAAAATTATGAAAATTCTTTGCTTTGTGTAATATCTAGCCAGTTATGTTTAACGTTAGCACTCTAGATGTCATCAGTTTTTGGTGAAATGGATACCTTTGGCTTTGGCGGATTTTTTATAATGTCACTTCACTGTGTGTAACGTTAACTTAGCTTGGAATCAATGAAAACGATAAAATCAAATAATTATATTACGTGTAGGTAGATACCTATTTAATAAGTTTCCGCTAAATTTAAAAATATATGATAATGATAGTAATTTAACGAGCAATGCCACAAGGATATTACAGTGGGTAAGCATAAAAATAAATAGAGCCATTTATTTATTTGGTCTAGCATAACCTTATCGATGTTAAAAAATGTTTTTGTTTGCTAATAAACTACTGATAATAAAAATGCGAACAATATACACAGACAATGAGCATTAAACGTGTATTGTTATCAACATATATAATAAAGTTATTATTTCAATAAACTACATTGTTTAAAAAATGTTTTTTATTTGCTAGTTAAAATTAGAATGAAAAATAATATTTATATGAAATAAATTTTATTTATTTTAATGGTTTTTAGATAAAAATTAATACACAGTCATAAAGTACTGAAATTTTATTCTACTTAGTTGCAACTCAATTTTCAACAGTATTAATAATACTTAAAATGTTTTTAGAGACACGTATTTAAACACATTTATAATGCATGTAAAACTTTGTGAACCGTAAAAACATTTTAAAAGCTTCTTTTGTGGTATTCATATTTTATTATATTCATATTTTTGACATGACTTATAAGTTTCCTCTAGACACCTAGTTGTTGTCAATCTATTAAAAAATTATTAAGAATTGAATTAAACATATTCAAGATTTATGTTATTAAATTTTTTCGTTAAAAATTTCAACGTAACTTTATTTTTATGTTTAAATTTGGTTCAGAACAAAATTCATTATCATAGGTAATTTAAAAAGGGTTCAGAGATTTAATTTTTCTTTTAGAAAATTTTCAAAGTATGTTTGAATGTAATACTTATGTTTAAATAACTACTGTTTTATGCTTTTAACTAAGATTACAATAGGATACGACTTTGAAGGTATTAAAAAAATATTTTTTACCATTAATAAAAAATATTTTGTTAAATCAATAAATAATATTTTATTTATTAATCAATGCATTGGCAATTTGATAACGGGAGCACTAACACTTGGTAATGAAAATATGACTGTTATACATCTTTTTAGTTAATTACTTTATGTGCTCAGCTACTAGTGAAACGATCTTTCTAAAATATGCCTCAAAAGAACCTGAACCACATCTAGTTGAATATATTAGCCTTAAAAATTGAAGAAAAATCAATTTTTTTACAAACGTAGATATTTTAAAAATATTAGATATGTTGAAAACGGCCGATTTTTATTGTTTTTGGAACTTAAATTTACTAGAAATTTTATAGAAAAAACCGTATTAATTTATAAGTTTGACGGGTAATATAATTGAAAATTACTTTAATTGAACAAGAATCAGGATTGTATTTTTTTTTTTTTAAATATCGTGGTTAGCGTTGATTGTTAAGGTTAGTCATTTTACAATGGTTTTTATAAAGTAAATGGTATAACGTTAATAATTTTACTGAGGTCGAGTTGGAGTTGATGTTCTGGAACTCTCGGTCGAGCTAACATCTCGCCATCCATCATACTTCACCGGTGAAATTAATTTGTTTCCGTAGAGTTGTTTTTTTGACGGCGAAACACTCCCGGGACTTATAACCGCATAACCGGGACACCTGGATGAGCAAACCACCATTATAATCTAAGACTATAAACATTATAGCAATTTTCAATTACCTGCGTCCTATGTTAGCTGTAATGTCCAATCGACTATCTGTCGAATTGTCCGCATCATAACAAGTATCTTGCACTTCAATTTCATGCCAATCATTATAATCTTCAACTTCTTCCTCCGCAATAACATCCACCGAATTTCCATAGTAAGCTTGTTGTTGTTCTATACAATGAAATACATTAATTATTAAAGAGCTAAATTATTTTTAGATTTTAAAACATATTGTATCACCAAAAATAAAAGGCGTATTTTGTTTTTCATATTTATTACTATGAATGTCATCTAATAACTTAGAGTGCTGTTTAGATGAATCATCAATTTTCTTCAAGGATTCAATTAAATATTGGGATTTAGAAGCCATGACTTCGTTGAGTTGCTGAATGCTGGACAACGCAATTTTATCGGTTCGCAGGATATCCAACGATGTACTAGAACTATCTTCTTTTGGCAAACAATAGTTGAAATCATCGTCCTTCAAACTTGGGTATAGTGCCTGAGATGTACTGGTAAGATTTTTAGATGAAAATTTCATATCTTCAGAGTGCAAATAATTTTTTGGTATTTGAGATATAGATTGGCTGTTGGTATTTTTAATGAGCATTAATTCACGTTCTTTTAGAGCCTCGATGATAATTTTCATTTGCTTTTTAATATCAGCGGTGAGTTTACTTGAGACAAACAAATGTTGTAATCATATAAAAACAATAAAAAGAAAAGGTATAAAAAGAATGAATTAATTTATATGAAATCTACCGTAGAAAATAAACCGTAATAAATGTCAACCGTAGAAAATAAACTAAAAATGTGTAGAGACACCAATTCAAATAATTTTCTTCGAATAAAAATATAACTATATATATATATATATAAATGATCTTAATAGTACTATGCGTTTGCATCTCGACCGACAAAGATGATTTCTTTAGTGGCTATGTATGATGTTGAGTCATAAGTATTGGGATTGGATTCCGAAGGAAACGCATCAGAACTTAAACACTTTCAATACTTCTGATAATATCGAATATAAAGCAATTACTAAACACACTTTTTATGATATTAGCCTTATACGTTGAAAATTCAATAACGATTTTAACGAACCATGAAGAGAAAAACTCATAGATATGCAAAACAGAATATTAAAAGTGTCATTTCAAAAATACAATTTAAACTGAAAAACTATAGTAAGTACATTAGTTTTAAATGTAACACGAAGTTATGAAATATTTTTCTTGATAATACCGTAAATAAGGATGACATTTTAAAACTCCTAGAATATATTGTACATTTAGTTAAATAAGAATATAAATTTCGTAAAAAAGGGACAGATGAGTCCAAGATATTACAAGACATATAATGGTAGTTCTACATTGAGAAAGAAATGGACCACAACTAGTTTAATGAAATTGTTCAACAAGTTCATTATAAAAAAAAGTATTCAATATGTTGAATATTGTTTTTCAAAAAATATTTCAACATCAGAGCCGGAATCATCATTTATAAAATATAAAAAAATCTATTAATTTTCATTAAAAAAATATACGAGATTGAAGGAAAATATTTTTTTGAACTTATTTTATCATAAAACGACCATTTTAAAATATGACTTCAGTATTCGAAGAGGTCTTATACCACTAAAAATGCTTTATATTTGTGTATTGCTTGTATAATTTAACAAATTTGTTTTTATTTTAAACTACTTGTATAACATTTGTTCAAAAACCCTTATAGTTAAAACAACGTTTGCAGTATCTGTAGATATTACATATATCGTTTAAATTACATTTAGAATTACCTTAATACATTGAAGTAAATATATCTGTTATGTAATTGTTTATTATAGAATATAATATTTATCTATGACATGTATTTATAGTTAATTCCAACAGTTAATACATGTACGATCAATCAATACTAATTTTACTGATTTTTTTAAAATAAATTTTCATCATAAAAATCAATATTTTAGTCAAATATTTCATTGAGTTAGGATATACTACTTGTTAGTATTCGTCATAAAATGTTCGTATAACATAACATATTGATTTTTATAAACTGACAAGTCGTCATTATTATTACATCATACACGCTATTCAAATAATACACACATTTACAGTAAATAAATACAGGTATACATTGAGTTTTTATGCGTGTATGAGGTAATTATTAAATAAATGTTTACTTTGAAATGTCATTACAGGATAATCAGAAATGTTTTCTGAATCAAGTACATCAGTCGACATTCTGAATTGAAGATAACAAGATCGATTTAAGAACGTTAAGCAATAAAGTGTACATAATTGAAAAATGTAATCATTTTCATTTAGTAACATGTTTAAAACATAATTATTGCTTAGGAACGTAACGAGTTTTCTTATGGCGATCGGATTTTATTCTTGTTTATGCTCAGCTTTTAAAAATTATAAAAAAATAAAAAATAATAATAATATACGAGGCAAATAAAATTACTTTATCCATAAAAACTGATAAAAAGTAGCTTTAAACTGGCTATGAAAAATATTTCCCGTTTAAATTTGGATTTTAATCCATTAAGAAAAATAAAATAATTATTTTAAATAACAAAAAAAAATGATTTTATATTATGTTAATTGCACAGAAAAACTATGAAAATTATTATTATGTACTAAAAAACAATTTGAATATATTTAAATATATTGCACAGTGATCTGTTATCATTTATTATATAAAATATATAACGGTGTATTTTGACTAGTGCTTTGATACTAAAATAATTAACGCAATAGCTTTGTAAATAACTATTTAAACCTTGAGTCTAATAATCGTGTGCAATGCACTTTCATAACACATATAATTTATATCTACTCATTCTATAGTAATAGTAATAGAAAAGAAAATTAACAAACTGAATGTACCTACTTTTCTACACTTGGGAATCATAAGTTAATAGCTAACACAAAAAAACTTATTATTATGATACGTTCGGTTGGATTTTGTTCTAAGTAATTGTACTCAGTCTCACGTTCTATAGATTTTTGAGTAGTAAACATTACGTTATTATCAGTATAATTGTATTAAAGATTAAAATAAAACATTTGGTATAAATTTGTCCGAGTTTAACGACCGTGAATATAATTCTAACCTAACCGTCATAGTTAACTTGGGAGTCCAAACAATTAAAATATTTCACACGTCAAAATAAATTACACAATTCCATCGTTTTGTAGTTTTTACACAAGTTATATATGCTCTAATATTTTATATACTTTTATGTACCACGAAATTATATCTAAAGATAAATTAACAAAAATAAATTAGTAATCTAAAGAAATTGGAGTATGAGAAAACTTCATGTAATTAAAGTAGCCGCATTTATACTACAATTGCAATTAAGGGCATATTCGGAATCACCGTCAAAGAACTTTATGAAATAAAAATATATATATATTTATAGTCATTTCTTGATTCAAATTTTTTTGAATCGTGTTAAATTAAACAGATTTTAGTTAATTGTATTTTTGTGATTAATCATATTTGAAAACAAAATATTGCACATTATGATATTTACAAAAATTGTTCAACATTAAAAAATGTGAAACAAGAATGCCATTTTACTTTTGATTTTCTTAAGTGAATAGATATAGTTAATTGTGTTTTTGGAAGTAGTCACTAAATAATTATAATTTTTTGACTTGGCGTCCGGAGATTAATCAGAACAATTGTTTTCTTTTAAAACAAATAATTGTGTAACTAATACATTCTTAGCTCAACGTCAAAGTGAAAAATTGTCTGACATTTGAAAAAACTTGAAGTCTATCAATGATGTTGTAAAAATGTTATGGATATACTCCAATAATAGCCATAATCTAATATAAAAATAATTTACAAAAGAGGTGCCATAAGAATAAAAATAACCATTTGCTGATTTTTGTATTGATTTTTTTTTTTTACATTTTATACTCAATTTGAACGTTTAGTTTAATGTGAAGGTTTAAAAAAATGTACGCGTCATTGTTAATAAAACTGAGAGTGCACAGTGTTCGGATATACCTATTCCCAGTTAAGACGGTGTTATTACTTTAGCGGTGGTCTGTCAGCTAACGGTAATATATATTGATGTTTGGTGGGACAATATGATTATATTTATTGTAGTCAATACATGTATGTCGGATCCCTCCGTGTTCCTTGTTATTGTACGTTTAGAGTGTATGTACTACAAAGTGGTCAAATATGTATTTGAACGTTATACCTATGTACATGACGAGTACGACAACGGCGATGTCGATGGTTAATTCCCCAGACGGTTTGACAAGGGAGGAATATAGTAATTTCAGATAGGGGTAGGGTACTGCGTTATGAAGCTCACAGCCGTTTAGACTTCGGTCATTAACGAATAAGTATTATACGGTCGTGGGAGCAGTGTGCGCCATAACCATATTATTCGTTATGTATATTATGGTACGAGACGCTCCAATTTCCTTGACACAATAATGATTCAGATACATATTATTATATTAACCGTAGTGAGTCAACTTGCTAGTTTTACAAGGGCACATTCTGATCACCACTTACGGCTGTGTAAGTAATACTACAGCATCTGAAGTTTAAATAAAAAAAATTACACGTTTGAAAAAGACTTATTCTACAATCAACACTTTGTCTGTAATAAATTAAACATTTGCGACAACCCGGTAAAATTAATATTAAAATGATTACAAAAAGTAATCGTAATGCTAATGAAAAAACGTAGGCTGGAACTTTTTAAACATTATTTTATCCTCATTGATTATGTTGATTGAAACAAGCGTATAATAAGTCAAACTTGACAAATTTGTTACTCATCAATGAATGAAGTTATTATTAAATATGTATAACATTTATTAATTTTAAACTGATGTTAAATGTTCGACAAATTATTTATATCAATTAATTTTTAAAAACAATTTCGTCTTTTATATGTAAACAAATTTTTTAATATAGATAATCTGTTATATAATCAGATAATCGGTTTATGAAAACCTATGATTATAAAATTACTCTTAACATCATCTCACCATTTTTGCTCTTATTAAAAACTCATTGGTAAGATATAAAAAATTTGTCAATTACTCCGACATTCTTTTACTTACACTTTTATATAAAAAGGGATAAAGAGTATACGCTTTACAAGTGGAATGTTTTTTATTTTAAGGTAGTTGTTTCCTGTATTAATTACCTCGTGTTCATTTGGTAAACTAGTACCACATTATTGTAATGATGAAATATCAACACTATATTTATTTCTCTGATTAAAATTATAAAATATTCTCTGATGTATTTAATTACAAAGTGTACACGAAATTACAAAAATGTATCAAAACGATGATCCTAACAACCAAATGATTCTTATAGTTATACAGGACGATTTATTTATGATTGATCACTAAATTTCTTCTAAACGAATAACAACTTAGAGAATTTTTGTTTTTTGGTTTTTTATGTAGTATTTATTTTATGATTTTCGAGTGGTTAAATATTTTTGGTTTATCTCTTAACACTTATATGGTACCTTTACTTTTTATATAGCAGCATGCGCATTTAATTATTTTATACAATGGAAAACGATCCAACTGAAAAAGAAGATGACTGGTTGATAACAATTTTTCAACTAGTAGTTCAGGAGTTATGAATATTTATATAATTGGATGGAAGG